ATCTACATAGTTTTACGTATGGCTAGTTTTATGTCAACTTGATACAAGCTATAGTCATCTGAGAAGGGAGAACCTCTGCTGAGATGATGCCTCGGTAAGATCAAGCTGCAGGCAAGCCTGTAGGACGTTTTCTTAATTAGGGATTGATGGGGGAGGTTATGGTCCATTGTGGGTGAGGCCATCCCTGGACTGGTGGTCCTGGGTTCTGTAAGAAAGCAGGTTGAGCAAGTTATGAGGAGCATGACAGTAAGCAGCACCCCTCTATGGCTTCTGCATTGGCTCCTGACTCCAGTTTCTTGCCCTGTTTGAGTTCCTGCCATGGCTTCCTTAATGATGAACAATGATGTGAAAAAGTAAGCCAAATAAACCCATTCCTGCCCAAGTTTCTTTGGTCATGGCATTTCATCACAGCAATGATAACCCTAACTAGTGACAACGTCACTACTACTCTTTTAGTTTAAGCCAATCTGATCCCTGTGCCCAGTTTCACATATAGCACTCAGGTTAACATGGCCTTGAAACAATGTCTGCTCATGTTCTTGAAAGACAAATGTTGACATGTACATGGATTGACATGAACATGAAAAGGTAACTAAAAATGAGGACCAGTCCAGGGAGTAAGGGCACCATGATCATAGAGGTCAGGGGCAAAGAAAGGCATACCTGGCAAACAAGATCCTCTTTAGTATACAAAAATATCTTTCTACTTATTTTCCTCACTCATGTGAAATAAATTCTTCAGAGAATACAGTGATAATGGGGCAATTAATTTAATGAGATTCTATGGGAATTCAACACAGAGTCACTGGGAACACTTTTTCCCACCTGATGCTCCCACATACAGTGCAACAGTCCAAGGAATCAGTGACTTCAACTGTTCCTTCAAGTGGGATTAAGCACTTGATGTCACATCCTTGTCTTGCCTTAGAGCTTAGCTGAACCTCGTCCATTCAGAAAAAAGAGAAAGGGGACAGCTCGCCGCACTGGAGCTCCTGATGGGAAGTAGGTATAAAAGGAGCCTGTGTTCTGAATGGGTGAAGTCTGGTGCTCAAAAAGGTGCAGTGCAATGAGGAACATTTCTTCACTTAGTGTTCCACTCCATCAGCTCCAGTGTCTTTCTCAGTTTCTTTTCCTCTCAGCTTTGACTCATCCCCTCCCCTTATAGAATCTAATTCAGATATCTCTCACCTTCCTGGGGTAAATTAATCTTCTCTTAGCTCTCTGCATCTCTCAAAGCGTTCTTTCTCAGTCACCTGTATCATTTGTCCGAAGGCACTGAATTATTTTCATTCTGTCAAACATGTCAGTGTCAGGGGAGATGGCTTGGTTGGTAAGCACCTGCCACATAATCGTAAGAAACTGAGTTCAGAATATCAGAACACATGTCAACATGTGATGCAGTAGAGTGGTCTAGAATTTAGTGTTCTGCTCTAAGATGGGAGGTAGAGTTAGAAGAATCCCAAGAAGCTTGCAGTCCAGCTAGCCTGGTATATGCAGCAGCAAATAACACACCCTGACTCAACCAAGTGTAAGGCCAAAACTGACAGCCACATATGCACCATGGCACACAGGCGCCTACACATCCACACACAACACACTCACACACAGTGTGAGAAAAGGCCAGAGACCAAACTCCAGCCTCTGAAAGATTGGTGTGTGCTCTTAACCACTGAGCCAGCTCTCTACCCTTGAATGTGATGAATTTCAACAAAAACTAATAAATTAATAAGAAAGTCCAGAAACAACTAATAAACCTCATCAAAATAGGTAGATTTTATTTTTGTTATTATTGTCATTACTACTGATATTTAATTTTGTTTTATTTCACTAGTAGAAGTGTATCATAAAGGGATATCATTCTTGGTGTCAACTTTGAACTATGCTAAAACACTATTAACAAACAATAAGTATAATTTGGGGTATTAAAAACCATCAGAAAATTTTGCTAAGAAAGATACTGATTTCAAGAAGAGCTGTCTGTTTCTTCAACAAGAGTTTTAACACAATAATAAAATACATACTTTTTCAGAATGAACATAAATTTGATGAAATCTAATAAATTTAAAGACTACTTTTCAAGTAGTACACAGCATTTTGTGGAGGTCAGAGAACACTTGTAGGAGCTTGTTCTCTCCTACTGCTCAGGTCTCAGGGTTTGAACTCAGGACATCACACTTGGCAACAGGTGCCTTTGCCACTGAGCCACCTTCTGGCCTCCCAAATCCCATTTTTCCCCTTTTCCTTTTCTGACATCATCCATCTTGTGCCTCAGGAACTCTTAGTGACAGGCCTGATCCTCCAAAGGATATAGAGCCCAGATACTGTGGGCCTGTAACATGTGGTGCCCCAGACATCAGTCCTAGATGGGGACCTACCCACTACCCCTTGACACATTCTGTTTTCCCTGTCACTGGGCTGAGTTGGAACCCACTCCTGATCTGAGACATGGGAAAAAATCCCAAGTGAGTCTTGCCAACTCTGGTCCATGGTCTTCCATTGCATTGGTGGTGCATGCCTTTAATCCCACCACTTGGGAGGCAGAGGCAGGAGGATTTCTGTGAGTTTGAGGCCAGCCTGGTTTACAGGGTGAGTTTCAAGACAGGCTCCAAAGCAATACAGAGAAACCCTGTCTTGAAAAACAAAAAAAAATTGTATGTATAATTATTTAGAGCAGTTTATTGATAAGAAGGTGAAAGCTGTATGTATGCTTTATACATTTATTTTATTATTAGGTTTCTTGCTTGCTTTGTACTTATGAACTGTTAAGAACTCATAGAATGCTTCCACAAATTGTCATAAGAAAAAATTCAAATTAATCTGAACTGTAGTTGTAATATAGACAAGTGAGAACTGGGGTTGTCCACATGGACAAGATTTAGTGAGCAACTTACATGTAGAACACTTTTATGTGATGAGACTCAGAGGGCTGAGATGTAGCTCAGTGACAGATCAACAATGCCCAGAAGTTCCCTCCCAATAAAGTCCTCAAAAACAGTCAGATAATGGAAAATGAATTTAAGACTTAGAAACTCTGAATTCTTCATGCTCAGAAATTACATTTTATAGAATGTGTATAACAAAAGTGGCAAGATAAGGAAAACCTAAACAATGATTACAAGAAAAGTGGGCAACCTAGATGCCCATCAGTTGAAGACTGGATGAAGAAAATGTGGTACATTTACACAATGGAGTACTACTCAGCTGTTAAAAACAGTGACATCTTAAAATTTGCAGACAAATTGACTGAACTAGATAAAACCATCATAAGTAAAGTAACCCAGACCCAGAAAGACAAACATGGTATGTATTCACTCATAAGCGGATATTAGATGTAAAGCAAAGGATAACCAGGCTACAGTCCACAACCCCAGAGAAGCTAGGTAAAAAAGGGGGGCCCTTAGAGGGGGATCTTAACTATTTTCCTTCTCCTGGATAAACAGGGAGGGGTAGAATGGAGGGATGGGGGAAGGGAACATGAGACCAAGTTGGGGAAATGGAGGAGAGACCAATCAAAGAGATATCTTGATAGAGGGAGGCATTATGGGGTTAGGGAGAAACCTGGTGCTAGAGAAATTCTCAGGAATCCACAAGGATGACCCCAGCTAAGACTCCTAGCAACAGTGGAGAGGATGTCTGAACAGGCCTTCCCCTTTAATCAGTTTAGTGACTACCCTAATTGCCATTATCGAACCTACATCTAGCAATTGATGAAAGCAGATGCAGTAACCCACAGCCAAGCACTGGGCTGAGCTCCTGGATCATATGAACATATTCAATATCAATATCTGCCAGAGATAGCTGGCAGAACTAGTGGGGGCTCACGGAGTATGGACTGACAGCTGGGGAACCTGCATGGGACAAAACTAAACCCTCTGAATGTGGGTGACAGTTATGTGGCTTCATCTGTTTCAGGGAACCCCTGGCAGTGGCACCAGGACCTATCCCAGGTGCATGAACTGGCTTTTTGGAGCCCATTCACTATGGTGGGATACCTTACTCAGCCTTGATGAAGGGAGGAGCTTGGTCCTGCCTCAACTTGGTTTGCCAGACTTTGTTGACTCCCCAAGGAAGGCCTTACCCTCTCTGAGGAGTGGATGTGGGCCGGAAGGGGGAAGTTGGGATGGGGAACTTGGGAGGGGCAGGAGAAAGGGAGGGAGAGAGAACTGGAGTTTGCATGTAAAATGAAAACTAATTTTTGAGCATTTTATACAAGTTTAAGCTACAGTGTGAAGTTCTCATACATAAAGTTTTTCAAAAAATATATTAAGGTTTCAGGTAACTACTGTTTGAAAGGATTGCTTTCTAAACCTGAAGTTTACAGAGTCTGTAACCATAAACAGTCACCATCTTTTGATGAGTGATACAAATATTAGCTGGTCCCAGGTTTGTTTGCTTTTTCCCTCTATTCAGTGTATATTCATTCATGCTTTTTCTCTCTACCTATGTCTGATGTCAGTTTTGGTAGTTGCAGAAAAGTATAGACCAGTGTGGCAGAATATTTCCTAGAAAATATTTCTAGAAAACTCTCATGAGTCAGTGATGCAACTTTCAAATAAATATGAGTGAAGAGGTTAACAGCTCAGTAACAGCATGAAAAGATTCATGCTGCCTTGGGGACTCCAGACAGGGGAATGGTGGTTTTCATATTTCACAAGCCAGCATGGCATTCCTAAACCAAAGAGGGTATAACACACTTGCCACCTACGAAGAAGCTGGCTGAGAGCAACCTCACCCAAAAATACACGTGAAGGCTTTCCATGTGGAACTTTGTGTTTCCATCAGTGCTGCTAAAGTTGTCAAGGATATTCTAACATGCCTGGGAAGACCCTGCAGCCACCTAAGCAGGCTGTCCCACTTGTTAACAAACTCCATACCCACAAGATAAACTACTGGTACATGTCCCCATGTGCCCATAGACTGTCCACCACGAAGAGGCTGATGTACTTTCTTGCAAGAAAGAAACAGAGGCTGCCAGTCTGTGCCGGTGGACTCTAGAGATGTTAGATAGACTCCAGAACACAGTCACTGCTGGAGAGGTAACAGGTAGTGACAAGTCCCGGGGAGGCCTCAGCCCTGGCCTTCTTGGGGAGAGCCCTGCTCCTGGAAGTCCTCCTCTTCATCGAAGAAGCCATTCTCCAGGGCGTAGGTGCAATCCAGGCTGGAGGCTGCCTGGCATGCTCCCTTGTACTCCTGAATGGACTCATAGAGGCTGTACAGTTGGCAGAGTAAGGACATGTCCAGCTGTCGGAGGCCAACCGTCTTGCGCAACAGCGCCAGCATGGCGTCCAGGTTGCGGGGCTTGGTCCGCGTCCCTGCAGCCCGCGCCCTCCACCGCCTGCGGCCCCTCGGCTCAGTTCGTTCTGGATGAGCGACTTCTGTGCGTACAGCCGTACAGCCGCTCCAGGTGCCGCCAGCCGCCACCCGCCGCCGAGTGCAGCAGCCCGCTCAGGCTTTTGGGTAGCGGTGGCAGCCCGTCTACGCACAGCAGAGGGCAGTGCCCGCAGACCCTGCCCCGCTCATCTCGCCGCGGTGCCGACACAAGCGCACAACACAGCAGAGGTCCCGGGGGTACCGCGGGTCCCCACCCACTTCCCGCCCCGAAAACTAATTTTTTAAAGGAAAAATACTGTGATCAGGCTTACACAAGGACCAGAATATGTGACATGTACAAAATTACAGAGAAAACACAACAATGGGGAAAAAAAAGGTTTCTAATAATTTACGAATTACAAATCAGTATATACTCAGAAAATCCCCATTCACACATTAATTAGACAGAACACACCAAAGTTGCCACCAGGGATGCTCAGTTGGTATGAAGGGTTTGCAAATGCTCATTTCTAACAACTGTCAGAGTGATGCTGAAGCTCGAGTTCCAGAGAACAACACGGTCTGGTCTGCAGCCAACTTGTTTTGGTGAGAATGGTAACAATAAATTTTCTGCCACAGTGCCCTCATGAATCTTGTTTGTTTGGTAAGTTGGATTAAATTTTTATTATATTTAATTTAAAGATTTCTTATAGTTATTTTAATTATGCATATTTTAAATGTGTATATATCTCTCTCTCTTGCTCTCTCTCTCTCTCTCTCTCTCTCTCTCTCTCTGTGTGTGTGTGTGTGTGTGTGTGTGTGTGTGTGTGTTTGTACAAGAGTGCAGGTGCAGGCTGAAACCAGAAAATGATATCAGATTTCCTAAAACTGGTGGTTTTGAGCTGCTCCACCTAGACACCAGGAATAGTATGCAGGAGTAGTGTGAGCTATTAATGCTGAGCCATCTCTCCAGTCCTGCGTTTATTTATATATTCTGTGTGTATGGATGCATATGCCTGCCATGGCACATGTGTAGAGGTCAGATGACAGGTTGGAGGACTTGGGGCTCTCCTTACACTGTGCACACACCAGAAATCAGAATCGGGCCCTCAGTCCTGATAGAAAGCACTTTGAACACTGAGTCATCTCACCAGCATAGGACCTTAGGTGTTTTGGGTGTGTTTTGTTTTGTTTTGTTTTGTTTTGTTTTGGAGAAGTGGCCTGTTTGTTTCATTTCTTTTGTTTTGTTTTAGGGTTTGGTTTTTATTTTATTTTATTAACCTTTTTATTTTACATCCCGAACACAGTTTCCTCTCCCTCCTCTCCTGTTCTCTCCCTCATCTATCCCCGCCCCATCCACTCTTCCCCCTCCATTCAGAATGGGGCAGGCTTCCCATGGGCTTAAACAAAGCATGGCACATCAGGTTGAGGTAGGACCGAGCTCCTCCTCCTACACCAAGGCCAAGTAAGGTAATCCAGCATGGGGAACAGGTTCCCGAAGCCAGCTAAGCACCTGGGACAGGTCCTGATCTACTGCTAGAGTTCTAGGCTGTTCTAGAACTCTCTATTGAGACTAGGCTGACCTTGAACTCACAAAAATTCTCATGTCTCTGCCTTCCAAGTACTGGGGTTAAAGGCATGTGCCACAACGCTCAGCTAATACCTTGGGTTTTAATAAAATATATTAACGTTATTTGACAGAATCCACTTAGGCTAACTTTGTGTTTGTTTTTCCTCTCCTTCTAGATAATCCCAGCAGTCCTATGGAAAAAGAAAACCAAACGGGATGCAGAAACTTTCTCCTCCTGGGATTTACAGAAGACGCTGACCTCCAGTCCTTCTTCTTTGGGTTGCTTCTGTCCATGTACCTGGTCACCCTCACAGGCAACCTGCTCATCATCTTGGCCATCATATCAGACCCTCATCTGCACACGCCCATGTACTTCTTCCTCTCCAACCTATCTTTAGCTGACATCGGCTTCACCTCCACCACCATACCAAAGACTCTGCTGAATATCCACACGCAAAGCAAACTCATCTCCTTCACAGGCTGCATCACACAGATATTTTTTTTCATTGTGTTTGGCTGCCTGGATAATTTACTCCTGACAGTGATGGCCTATGACCGCTTTGTGGCCATCTGCCATCCCCTGCACTATGTAGTCATCATGAATTCTTGCTTCTGTGGGATGCTGGCTCTTGTGTCCTGGTTAATCAGTGTCATGAGTTCCCTGCCTGAGACCTTGACTGTGTTAAGGCTATCTTTCTGTATGAACATGGAAATCCCACACTTCTTCTGTGATCTTCCTGAAGTCCTGAAGCTCGCATGTTCTGACACCCTTGTCAATAACATTGTAGTATATTCTATAACTATAGTCATAGCTGGTTTTCCTTTCTCTGGGATTCTATTGTCCTACTATCAGATTTTCTCCTCCATCCTAAGGATTCCCTCAGCTGGGGGCAAGTACAAAGCCTTTTCTACTTGTGGGTCTCACCTCTTGGTAGTCTTCTTGTTCTATAGCAATGGTCTTGGGGTCTACCTCAGCTCTGCAGCCATGTCATCTTCTAGAATGAATCTGATCGCCTCATTGATGTACACTGTGGTCACTCCCATGCTGAACCCCTTTATCTATAGCCTGAGGAACAAGGACATGCAGAAAGCTTTGGGGAAACTCCTCAGAAAGATGGTGCTTCTTGGTGAAGGAACCATAGCACAACCCACATAAACATCAATTCAGTGAAGAAGGAAAACATATGCTCCATCATCTAATGTAGAGACTACATTTCTCCAGAAATAAAATTTGTGTTGTTTTATTTATTCTTTGAAAATTTCATGCATACACATAAATGTGATCATATATCAAAGGTCTCAAATAGGGGTTTAAGAGGGACACTGGCACAAATCTGGGGGTTAAGTAGTTTATTAGAAAAGTTATTAACGTCATGGACAGAGAGGCAGGCAGGCAGAAAATGGTGTGACATGGGCTCTGAGAAAAGTTCAAGCCCTATCACCAGAGACAGGCAGCTCCAAAGAGGGTATCAGGGCCCATGATACAGATTCTAGGTCTCTTATTGCAAGGAGGGCTGCTCACAGCACAAGTCTGAATCCAGACTCTGTGATTCCCAGGCAGAGGGAAAGGTAGGGAGCAGGATGTGTGGCCACCAGTATCTCCTGTGATGTGAGTTTATTTCTACCTAGAAATCTGTTAGCAATGCCCTCAGTGAGGTGCTTTCTGGCAACTGTGAGAGAGAAAAGAGGCTGCATCAGGTATTGGGGCCTTAAACAACAGTCTGGTCTGGATTCAAACACTATTCATTATACACACACACACACACACACACACACACACACACACACACAGGTGCCCACGCACATTTTACTCTTCAAACTCTCCTCCAAACCCCGACCAATGTGACCTGCTCCCAGTATCAACTTCTCTTCTTATTTGTTCAATAACCTGCTAAGTCCAGTTAATGCTGCCAGCATGTGCATTGGTGTGGGGCTATTTGTAGGAGCATGGGCAACCTACCAGTGGCCACATGCCTGAAGAGGAATGACTCTGTCTCCCCCAGCAGCCAACAGTTCCCAAAAACTCTTCAGTTAGGGGTGGGTCCTCATGAGTCCCCTTCCTCTCCATTCTGGAACACAAATGTAGAAACACAAGAAATTGGAGGAAGGAGCAACAGGTTTCTTCCAAACTTATCAATTCTACAATCACTTTGATAATGAGTTTTATTAAATCCCAGACAAAGCATTCAAGAGAATGATTATAAGAATGTTTAGGAAATTAAAGAGGATGTTTATAAACTCTTGAATTAATTAAAGAGACTATAAATAAAGAGCTAAATGACATAAGGAAGCCAATGTAGGATATAAAGAGGGACTCAGTAAAGAGAAATTTAAATATCAAAATTTTAGAAATTAAAACCTCAATAAATCAATGTTTAACAAAATCTCACTAATAAAATGAATGAGGTGAAAGAGAGACTGAGAAATTGAAGATAAGGCAAATGAATTGGAGCCTTCAAGCTATAAAATTAAGAATGTATAAACAAGACTAAAGAATTATTGACAGTTACAAGCACTTTAGTTTTCAAAACTCTAGTAATTGGCTCAGGAAATTCCCCCTTAAGGAGTTATTTTATGTTCGGCTCAAATCCAGACTTTTTCCCTTCGAAATTGTGTCATCATATATAAGTAATATGATCTCTCATAGCCACAAATTCTTCACTGGCAAAGTGGGGATAATTCCAAACTTAAAAGACTGTTTTGCAATACACAGCAAAGTGCAGTGTACTGTTAACTGTTTGGAATAAAGTAAGCACTCCTAAACATGCAAAAAACTGTATAAACAAAACCTAAAGGATCTAAGAGACATCAGTAAAGAGCCAAGATTATGGAAGAGTGAGGTGTGTGTGTGTGTGTGTGTGTGTGTGTGTGTGTGTGTGTGTGTGTGTACGCATGCACATGTGTGCAAGGCAGAGGTTGATATAAGTGTCTCTCCACTTATTTTTGAGACATGGTCTCTCACTGAACCTGGACATTGCTAATTCATCTACACTGGCGAGCTAGCTATCCCCAGAGATCTTTCTGTCTTCCCAACATTGGGATTATGTGTTCATGCACCAATCTTTTTCATAAGAGTCCTGGGAGATTGACCTCACTTCCTCATGCTTGTGTGACAACAACTTTAAAGGCTGAGCCACTTTCCCGAGCCTTTAATCACAGCACTCGGGAGGCAGAGGCAGGAGTGAGTTTGAGGCCAGGCTGGTCTATGGAATGGGTCCCAGGATAGCAAAGGCTACACAGGGAAATCCTGTCTCAAAAGAAACAAACAAAATAATAGTAATAATAATAATAATTAAAAAAAAAACATGTCCTGTGGTAGGTGTGTACCTGACCCCTCTTCCTCCCAGTACTTAAAGCTAAATTCAAACTGTTTTCCAAGGAAGGAAGACTGTGAAACACAGCACCACTGGAGCCCCTGCTGTGCAGCTGGTAGGGATGAGGCAGGGCTCTCGATGAGTGAGCCTTGAAGTCCAAGCAGGTCAATACAAGGAGGAACATCTGTTCACTTAAAATGGTCTGTGCAACCAGTCTGTGTCTCCAAACTTATTTTTCTTTTCCCTTCCCTCACTTCCTCTCTCTCTGAAACCAAATTCTGTGTAACTCTCACCTTCCTGCTGCAAACTGAGAAATCTTAGTGACC